GGAATGGAGGTTTGGGGGGGATTGAGGAGGATCTGGGGGGGCTCCCGCAGGGATTGGGGGGCCCGGGGTGGATTTGGGGACTGCAGAGGGGGGGCTTGGGGAGGTCTGGGGGGGTCCCCAAGCCCCCATGTCCTGATTTGGGCCGTGCTGGATCCTCAGGGGGGCCCTGGCCCAGTTTGGGTTTGTATTTTTAATTGGGGGGAGGGTCCTGGCCCAGTATTTTTAACTGGGGGGGGGTCCTGGCCCAGTATTTTTAATTGGGGAGGGGGTCCTGGCCCAATTCAGGTTTGTATTTTTAATTGGGGAGGGGGGAACCCCTCCCCAGCTGCTCCTCTGGGACCCCTCAGGGGCACTTTGGGCTCTCAGACCCCCCCTTGGCTGCACTTCGGGGTCTCTGCGCCCCCCCAGCCCCATTTGGAGACCCCAGCCCCCCCTCCGGGTGCATTTGGGGGGGGGTCTCACGCGCTGCCCCCCTCCCCAGACAGAGCTACGACATCAGCATCGTGGCCCAGGTGGACCAGACGGGCTCCAAGTCCTCCAACCTCCTGGACCTGAAAAATCCCTTCTTCAGGTGGAGCCGGGGGGGCCGCGGGGCCGGGGGGCTCTCGGGACCCCCCCCAGGGCCTGACAGCCCCCTCCCCGCGCCCCCTCCCCAGGTACACGGGCACGACCCCCTCGCCCCCCCCCGGCTCGCACTACACGTCGCCCTCGGAGAACATGTGGAACACGGGAAGCACATACAACATGAGCACGGGCATGGCCGTGGCCGGTGCGTCCGGGGGGGTCCCGGGGGGTCCGGGGGGGGTCCCCGAGGGTTTGGGGGGGTCGCCCCCCCGGTTTTGGGGGGGGTCTGACCCCCTCCCCACGCAGGGATGCCGGCGGCCTACGACCTGAGCAGCGTCATCGCCGGCGGCTCCAACGTGGGCCACAACAACCTGATCCCCCTGGGTGAGTCTGGGGGCTTCGGGGCCCGGCCGGGGGTCTCGGGATGTGGCTGGGGGTCTCGGGATGAGGGTGGGGGTCTCGGGACGAGGGTGGGGGTCTCACAATGCCCCCCACCCCGCAGCCAACACCGGCATCGTCAACCACACCCACTCCCGGATGGGCTCCATCATGAGCACGGGCATCGTGCAAGGTACCCGAGCCCCCTCCCCACTTCCAGCCCCCCGAGCCCCCTCCCCAGGCGCGGCTGACCCCCGTGTGCCCCCCAGGCTCGTCCGGCGGCCAGAGCGCGGCGGGCTCCAGCGCCCACTACCCCCTGAACAGCCAGTTCACCATGGGGGGCCCCCCCATCTCCATGGCGTCCCCCATGTCCATCACCACCAACACCATGCACTACGGCAGCTAGAGACCCCTCCCCAAAACCAGCGGCGACCGACCAAACGCGGGGACCCCCGCCCCGCCCCGCCCCGGGGGTCTCTCCCTGCCCGCGCCGGACCCGGAGGGGATTTTATTGTTTTTTTCTTTTTTTGGGATTTTTTTGGTTTTTGGGGGGTTTTTTTGGGGGCGTTTTGTACCGCTGGGAGTGCCCGGGGGGGGGGGGGGCCCACCGGGACCTTTTGGGGGTCCCTGCTCCCCTCGGGGGGGGGGAGGGGCGAAATTTTCTTTCTTTTTTTGGCTTTTTGAGTTTTTTAAAAAATAGAATTAAAAATTCCCCTCCCCCCCCAAAATGATCACGTGGAAATGAAAGAATTCAAATAAAAGAATTAAAATTTAAAAATTTTAAAAATTCAAATAAAATTATTCAAATAAAGGAATTGAAAAGAATTAAAAGAATTCAAATAAAATAATGCAAATAAAATAGAGATAAAATATTGAAAATAAAATAAATGAGATAAAATAATGCAAATAAAACAATGAAAATAAAATCATCCAAATAAAATAATTCAGATAAAATAATGCAAATTAAAGAATCTCGATAAAATAATTCAAATAAAATAATCCAAATTTTAAAAATCAGATCAAATAAATCAAATAATTCAAATAAAATAATCCCAATAAAATAATCCCAAGAAAAATAAAATACCAAGACAAGAATGATTTTTGGATAAAAATGAACCAGGTAAAAGAATCCAAATAAAAATAAAATCTCAATAAAATCATGATTGTGATAAAAAGAATTCTGAGAAAAGAATCCCAATAAGAATTATTCCAATAATTCTGATAAAAATAATTCTGATTAAAACCATTCCGATAAAATAATCCCAATAAAAATAATCAATAATCCAATCAAATCATGACTCTGAGAAAAATAATTCTGAGAAAAATAATTCTCAGAAAGGAATCCCAAGGAAATCCCTCCAGTAAAAAATAACTCTGCTAAAAAAATAAGTCAGACAAAAGTAAAAAATAAATTAAAAATTCCCCCCCCCCCCCCCAAAAATGATCACGTGGAAATGAAAGAATTGAAATAAAAGAATTAAAATTTAAAAATTAAAAAATTCAAATAAAATTATTCAAATAAAGGAATTGAAAAGAATTAAAAGAATTCAAATAAAATAATGCAAATAAAATAGAGATAAAATATTGAAAATAAAATAAATGAGATAAAATAATGCAAATAAAACAATGAAAATAAAATCATCCAAATAAAATAATTCAGATAAAATAATGCAAATTAAAGAATCTCGATAAAATAATTCAAATAAAAGAATTGAAAGGAATTAAAATAATTCAAATAAAATAATGCAAATAAAAGAATTGAGATAAAATAATGCAAATAAAATAAATGAGATAAAATAATGCAAATAAAACAATGAAAATAAAATCATCCAAATAAAATAATTCAGATAAAATAATGCAAATTAAAGAATCTCGATAAAATAATTCAAATAAAATAATCCAAATTTTAAAAATCAGATCAAATAAATCAAATAATTCAAATAAAATAATCCCAATAAAATAATCCCAAGAAAAATAAAATACCAAGACAAGAATGATTTTTGGATAAAAATGAACCAAATAAAAGAATCCAAATAAAAAGAAAATCTCAATAAAATCATGATTGTGATAAAAAGAATTCTGAGAAAAGAATCCCAATAAGAATTATTCCAATAATTCTGATAAAAATAATTCTGATTAAAACCATTCCGATAAAATAATCCCAATAAAAATAATCAATAATCCAATCAAATCATGACTCTGAGAAAAATAATTCTGAGAAAAATAATTCTCAGAAAGGAATCCCAAGGAAATCCCTCCAGTAAAAAATAACTCTGCTAAAAAAATAAGTCAGACAAAAGTATTCTGATAAAATAATTCTGATAAAATAAATCAGATAAAATCCTTCCAGGAGAAATTGTCCTGATTAATCCCACTCAAATAATTCTGATTAAAAAGAATCCAAAGAATTCCAATGAAAAAAATTCCACTGAAATTATCCAGGGTCAAAAAAAAACATTCCAAGAAAAAAATCCCAAGAAAAGAATCCCAAGAAAAGAATTCCAGAAAAAGAATTCTCAAAAAAGAATTCTTAAAAAAGAATTCTTAAAAAATCCTGATTAAAAAAATCCGATTAAAAGAATTCCGATGAAAATAAATCTCAAAAAAAGAAATGATCCCAATTAAAAAAAAATCAAATTAAAAAAACCCAAACGGAGAAAATCCCAAAAAATGGAACTGCAATGGAAAAATTCCAATAAAAAAATCAAATTCCAAATTCATCCCAATCAAAGCAGCCCAGAAGGGAAAAATCCCAATTAAAAAAATTAAATAAAAAGAATCCAGATAAAAATAACCCAGGTGGAGAAAAGTCCAGAAAAATAAAACTGGAAATGGAAAAAATCTCATAAAAATAATTCAAATTTCTAAAAAATCCCAACAGAAACAACTGGAATGGAAAAAATTCCAATAAAAATAATCCAAATTTTAAAAATTCCAATAAAAATCATCCCAGTGGGAAAAAAATCCAATAAAAATAATCCAAAATTAAAAAATCCAATAAAAACAATCCCAATTAAAAAAAACCTGTTATAAATAATCCAAATAAAAAGAATCAATAATAATAATAGATAAAAATAATCCTGATAAAAATAAACCTGGTAAAAATAACAAACACAAAGGAAATACAAATAAAAATAATTACAAATAATAAAAACAAATGGAACCCAAAATAAAAATAATCCTAATAAAAAACAAGAAATTTAAAAATTATCCCAATTAAAATAATAAATTAAAAATATTTCCAGTAAAAAATAATACAAATAAAAATAATCCCAATTAAAATAATAAAGTGAAAATATTCCCAATAAAAATTAAAATAATCCAAATTAAAAATAATGCAAATAAAACAATGAAAATAAAATCATCCAAATAAAATAATTCAGATAAAATAATGCAAATTAAAGAATCTCGATAAAATAATTCAAATAAAAGATTTCAGATAAAATAATCCAAATAAAATAATTCAAATTTTAAAAATCAAATAAAATAAATAAAATAATTCAAATAAAATAACCCAGATCAAATAATCCCAATAAAATAATGCCAAGAAAAATAAAATGCCAAGACAAGAATGATTTTTGGATAAAAATGAACCAGGTAAAAGAATCCAAATAAAAATAAAATCTCAATAAAATCATGATTGTGATAAAAAGAATTCTGAGAAAAGAATCCCAATAAGAATTATTCCAAGAATTCCGATAAAAATAATTCTGATTAAAACCATTCCTAATCCCAATAAAAATAATCAATAATCCAATCAAATCATGACTCTGAGAAAAATAATTCTGAGAAAAATAATTCTCAGAAAGGAATCCCAAGGAAATCCCTCCAGTAAAAAATAACTCTGCTAAAAAAATAATTCAGACAAAATTATTCTGATAAAATAATTCTGATAAAATAAATCAGATAAAATCCTTCCAGGAGAAATTGTCCTGATTAATCCCACTCAAATAATTCTGATTAAAAAGAATCCAAAGAATTCCAATGAAAAAAATTCCACTGAAATTATCCAGGTTCAAAAAAAAAACATTCCAAGAAAAAAATCCCAAGAAAAGAATCCCAAGAAAAGAATTCCAGAAAAAGAATTCTCAAAAAAGAATTCTTAAAAAAGAATTCTTAAAAAATCCTGATTAAAAAAATCCGATTAAAAGAATTCCGATGAAAATAAATCTCAGAAAAAGAAATGATCCCAATTAAAAAAAAATCAAATTAAAAAAACCCAAACGGAGAAAATCCCAAAAAATGGAACTGCAATGGAAAAATTCCAATAAAAAAATCAAACTCCAAATTCATCCCAATCAAAGCAGCCCAGAAGGGAAAAATCCCAATTAAAAAAATTAAATAAAAAGAATCCAGATAAAAATAACCCAGGTGGAGAAAAGTCCAGAAAAATAAAACTGGAAATGGAAAAAATCTCATAAAAATAATTCAAATTTCTAAAAAATCCCAACAGAAACAACTGGAATGGAAAAAATTCCAATAAAAATAATCCAAATTTTAAAAATTCCAATAAAAATCATCCCAGTGGGAAAAAAATCCAATAAAAATAATCCAAAATTAAAAAATCCAATAAAAACAATCCCAATTAAAAAAAACCTGTTATAAATAATCCAAATAAAAAGAATCAATAATAATAATAGATAAAAATAATCCTGATAAAAATAAACCTGGTAAAAATAACAAACACAAAGGAAATACAAATAAAAATAATCGCAAATAATAAAAACAAATGGAACCCAAAATAAAAATAATCCTAATAAAAAACAAGAAATTTAAAAATTATCCCAATTAAAATAATAAATTAAAAATATTTCCAGTAAAAAATAATACAAATAAAAATAATCCCAATTAAAATAATAAAGTGAAATAATAAAAAACAAGAAATTTAAAAATTATCCCAATTAAAATAATAAATTAAAAATATTCCCAATAAAAAAATAAAAATAAAAATAACCCAAATTAAAATAATAAATTAAAAATATTTCCAGTAAAAAATAATACAAATAAAAATAATCCCAATTAAAATAATAAAGTGAAAATATTCCCAATAAAAATTAAAATAATCCAAATTAAAATAATAAATTAAAAAAGTGAAAATATTCCCAATAAAAATTAAAATAATCCAAATTAAAATAATAAATTTAAAATATTCTGAATAAAAAATAAAAATAATCCAAATGAAACTGATCCCAATTAAAATAACAAAAAAACCCAAATGAAAATAAATCATTAAAAATCCCAATTAAAACAATTAATAATCAATAAATTAATGCCCCCCCCGGGGAAGGACCGGACCCTGCCCCTCCCCCCTCACGGGGGGGGCGCCCCCCGCCCCTCCCCCTCCTCGGGGAATGAAACCGATCCCAATTAAAATAACAAAAAAACCCAAATGAAAATAAATCATTAAAAATCCCAATTAAAACAATTAATAATCAATAAATTAATGCCCCCCCCGGGGAAGGACCGGACCCTGCCCCTCCCCCCTCACGGGGGGGGCGCCCCCCGCCCCTCCCCCTCCTCGGGGGGTCTCCCCGGGGGGGTCCCGGGGCCGGTGCCCGGGGTGGGCTCGGGGGGCTCGAAGCTGAA